CACGAGAGCTTCTGCCGCTAAAATGCAAAACAACGAAAGCTTTCTTTGAGTGTGCGTGTGTGTGTGTGTGGTGTGTAGTCAGCGTGAGCAAAACGGCCCTGACCTGATTTCCATTATGTGCACGCCATTCTGCAGCGCGTGGGCAGCGCAGCAGCAGCAGAGCAATGCAGCGAAAAAGAGAGCGAGAGCAAAGATGAGAGCCGGCGTAAGCGCGCAGCTGTGAGAGCGCTCAACTTTTTGAGTTTTATGCACAAGCAGGAGAATGCACATGTATAATAATATTATTGACTTGTAGTAAATTCAAATATGTATTAAATATGAATAAAAATTGACTAATAGCAAACAAATGATAGCGCTTGGTGCTGTGGTTAGCTCGGCAGTTTGCAGCAATTTTCGCCGCTCTCTTTTCGCCGTCTTCGCCCTGTCGGCTTGGCTGTGGGTCTCTCTGTTTATGTTTTTGCGGCACCGTTATATACTTGAAGTTGCTGCTGTGCCAAAGCGGCTACTGTTGTTGTTGTTGTTGTAGCGCCGAGCTTAAACCATGTGATTGTTTTGCTAGCTCGCTCTTCGTTCAACGGCATATCCTGTGCCCGCATGTGTGCGTGCGTGTGTCTGTGTGTGTGTGTGCCGCTGCAGCTTTAAAAACTTTTGCTGCATTTTGTTGTCGTCGTCGCCATCATCATCGTCGCTGTCGCTGTCGTCGTGCTTTTCGGCCCAGAGGCTGGTCGCTCGGTCTCCAAACGGCAGCGGGCAACAACGCTGCAGTGTCCAAAAGCCGATTTACAGTTTTATATGCCAGTTATGAGTGCAACCAACAAACGGCGACCGCATTTCCGTAATGGCGAATGTGTGCACAAAAACCAAACGCAGTGAATCACTCAAATTTAGCCAAAGACAATAATTAACAGTAAAAGTAAAATAGAAGAAAAAACTAAATTTCGCTGCAGTCGCAAGCTAAACGAAATCGCCGCAGTGAAAGTGAAAAAAAGAAATAGAAAAATTTGATGGCATCTTTTAGGCGCAGCACATAAAAGATTCGCCCCCGATTTTTTGATACTTGCGGTCGTTTCAGTTGTGGTTGTTGTTGCTGGACGCCCACATCCCACAGCAGCTGTTTAAATGTATTTGAGTGCTTGCAACCAACAGCGGCCAGCCCCCTTGAGGGCCGGCAATCCATGGAGTATTCAAACTCTAAATGTTTGAATCACAACGAGCCAATACAAGAGCAGCCACAGCAGCAGCAGCAGCAAAGTGAACAGCAAAGCAGGCAAGTGTTATTTATATATATATATATTTATATTTAGATATGGTTTTTTGCATATGTATGCTGCATGTGTAATGGCCACACCTGAGCTGAGCACAGTTTTTATGCTCTATAGTTTAGTATATATATATTTTTTTTAATTAACCAAACAATTGCCCAGGCACGAGCGTGGCATGTGGCAAGTCCTTTGTGTCGCAGTCACATAATTTTGCAAACTTTTCAACAACCAGGAGCTGATGTGGTTGCTGCCGCTGCTGCTGCAGTTGCTCCTCATCATCATTCATTTGGCTGACGAGTGAGCCACTAACCTACATCCTGCCCCACAACAAGGCAAGGCTGCTATTGTTGTTAGCCGGCATGCCACGCCCACTTGCACAATGCCAGTTGTGCGGGTGTTGATAAGCGAGAAAATGTGAAAAGCGGCAGCAACAGCAACAGCAACATCAACAGCAGCAGCAGCAGCAGCAGCAGCAGCAGCAGCAGCAGCGTCAGCGGAGAACGAGATGCCTCGAAATAAACGTTGCCAGGCCGTCGCATAACAAATGATGAGATTGTGCCGATTCGTTGCTAAAGCCGTTTGCCCCATCTCCATGCATAAATCAAAAGTTCAATTTTGCACATTTCAGCAGCAGAGCAAAGAGAAGACACACTCACACACACACACAGACAGAGATGGATAGGCTCCTTGGCAGCAACTAAAACGCCACATGGGCAAATATTTCACTTCTGCTTTCGAGCAGCGCATCGAAAAGCGAAAATATTGTGACAACATCAACGACAACAACAACAACAAGAACGGCAGCAACAACAACAAGAACAAGAAAAATCTCTAGTTTGAGTGCTTGTTGGGATGCTGCACTTGTGTGAAGTGCATAACAACGTGGAAATATTGTAAAAGCAAACTACACGATAGTCAGAGGCAAAGAGAGAGAGAGAGAGAGAGGCACATACATAAAGACAGAGACACATAGAGAGGGGGCATTGGTGGGGACTGCAGGCAATGCCAAATGCTTGGGCTACAAAGCAAAATGCAATAAAGCTCAGCGACGGCATAGAACACACCAAACGTGCTACATGCAACTTGGGGCATGCCGCAGCTGCCGGAGTTTCACATCCTGCCGAGCTGACCATGCAAACAGTATGCATATTGATTTTTGGAGTGCTATGAGTTAATCAAGGGGCATATGCATTGAGCGAGTAACTAGAACATGATAGATTTATAGAAATTAAAATTCATTTTTTAAGAAATATTTGTTGAGGAATTCGAAATTATCCAATTGATTTATTCGCTTGACTTGAGTAATAGCTACAGGGTATTTTTGTAGTCTGCCCTTAGCAAACTTTTTGTTTTTGGCTGCTGTCAAATGCAGAGGATGCCACAAAGCGAGTTGGCTTGTGGCTGCCCGTTTGACAAGAGTTGCCAACGTTCGGCTGTGGCCATAACTGCACTGCGCACAAAAGTAAGCTAAGGGCGAGAAGCCTAAAAGGCAACATACTGTGCGTATACGTCATGTGCGAGGAGTTACTTTGACAGCGAAGCAAATGTGAAGATATATAGATGAATGCATTGTAGATATGAGATGGAGACAACTATTGGCTTTAGTTAAGTTATTACCACAATGAGAGCAAAGCGGAGCTAATATTGCATAGAGCCACCTCCTTTGCTTGGGATTTATCTCAAACTAGGCATACAAAATGAAGAGTTCTTGCCATGGCACATTAAATGGGTAGATATTGATTAGTAAACGTTTGACAAAAGGCATTCAATTGGAATAGCAAAACAATTTACGCAAGCTAGTTAATTACTATTTATGCAGGGACTACAATGCGTATACGTAATGGAAGAGTTCTGACTATTGAAGCGAATGAGTTGTATTTGAAATATTAAATAGATATACATGCGAAAGGATTAGCATGTATTTAAGTAATTACAGGCATTTTATTCAGAATTGATATATAATGGAAAGCGAGGCAGGCATACTGTGTACATAATGCGAGAATTTTCATAGAGGAAGGCAACAAATATCCAGAGTCCATACCAAATACAATAATATAAGTTTGAGTACGCCTGCACATAATTAGTAGATTAAAATTCCCCAACAACTTGCGAAACTATAAGAGAAAACAGCTCAACTTTAAGAGCCTTAAGCTAGAGCTGAACAAGAATTCAACTTTCCACAGCCAACTTTCGAGTTCTATTTAAATCCTCTCTTTGGCCATTTATTTTGCTGCTCGAGCTGGACAGAAACTATCGATCAAAGTGGTGCCTCAAGTGTGGTGCAGTGTGGCTGTGGCTCTGGCTGTGGCTGATATTCAATAAATTCTCTCTCCTTCGAGGGAAATGGCAAATGGAAAATGGCCAATTACGTGGCATAACGAGCCAACTAGAAGAAGAGCAAGCAAAAGTATGCCACTCCATGCTGAGATGGGAGGGTGGGTTGGGTTAGGCAACTGTGCTTGATATCTAACCCTTCGATAGCAACAGCAACAACAGCAATACTGACTGGCCACTTTTCCAATCAATTACGTGTGGTGGGGCCTTTGCTGCGAGCCAATTGACAAAACGATAACAATTTCGCGTTGGTTCCATAGGTCAATTGATTGCGCTTAAGCGACGGCATTCCATTTAATTTGACATTGAATATATATGTATATATATTATATATTTTTTTTTTGCATATGAGCTTTAACTCTATCTCCCTCTCTCTCTCTTTCAGGCTATCCTTGCTCAACGGCTATTTCCCAGCAGTTAAGGAAACGACGGAAAGTGCAACCGCAACTGCACCTGGCCAGAGTCAACGTTGCCCCAATACACCGCCCACAACGCCCAGCAGTCCGTTCCGAGAGCCGCCTCAGAGCCCCTCGGATGGTCAAACCTCTTCGCTGAGCTCGCATTCGGCTTCCAGTGACATCTTGTTGGGTAAGTCCCACATGTGCTTATTTTAATCAATGTGTCTATTGTCATAGTGGAACTTAAGAAATACTCTCGGTTAACTCTTTATGGTAACTCTATGTGATGTGGCTAAGGGGAGCTTTTGGGGGATTTCTATGAATAGAATTTGCAATGATTTCTAATGAGTCAAAAAATCTTGAAAATTTCTTTAAATTTATATATACTCTATTTATAATTCTTTTTCTAATAACAATGGCTTCTCTATTGTTGGAAATATATATAATATATATTATATGATATGGCATATTAAAAGCTATGTCATAATTCGATATCTCAATTAATACTATTCCGATGTTTACCCAACTTCAACACAACAACTCAATATACCCTGCCTGACAAACACATTTATGCTAGGGTATTATGAACGTTAGTTACACTTTGCTTGCAAATCTTCTCAATTTTTTTTTTGTTTGGCTATTTTTTTTCCTTTCTGTGCGCTTTGGTTCTGTTATTTATAGCTGCCCGGTTTTCCCTCACGAAGCAGATCATGACCCAGGAAAGAAACGCCAACTACAACAGCAACAACACATGAAATCGCAACATTTTATTGAGGTTGCTGACATTCAGGCATACATTGCACATGCCTCTACTCATGCCACGCCCCTCTACAGCCTCCTGACAACTGTGCTCCAAAATGTCTTTTGTGTGCTGCGCTTTTGGGTTTTTGGGGGCTTCAGTTTGGGTTTCGTTTTCGGTTTGGACTGCGCTGCCAACGCCAGATAAACAGTCGCTGCAGCAGCCGGAGTGTGTGCCACAAGGCCCATGTGTGGCAGCTGCTGCTGTTGCTGTTGCCTATCTGTGTGCGACATTTATTTGGATTTCGTATGCCATTCCATGCGACGGTGAATTGTGGCACGAACTGCGGGCGGTTGTCTCCACTCCTGCTGCTGCTGCTGTTGCTGTTGTTGCTTTAGATGGCTATCCCTTTGAGGACTCTGCTGCCAGGCATGTTGCAGCCACATAAATGGCCTGCCAGTTGCTGTGATAAGTGTCTCAAAGGCGAAATGTCTTTAATCGATTTATCTTGACTTGAAAGAGAATTATTTGCATCATTTGAGCTGTGATGTGAATAATAAATTAAATAGAAAATGTGGAGATGTCAAAAATAAACAAATATTACATTTAGAGAAACTACAAAATATTAATAGAAATTTAAAAATAAAAAATTGTATTTTATTTAAATTTTATTTGTAATATGTATTATTATTATTATTTTTTGTTTTTTAATTTGAATAAGCTAATTTTATTTATTATATAATTTTCATTTGTCAATTTCATGATTATTTATCTTTGGTACTTTGGTACGATTTTAAATATCATTAATAATATTATTTAATTATTAAATAAAATATACATATAATTTATTGTAATCAAACGTCTTAAAGTGATTTTCCCAAAAGTATGCTATAATATTAGATGTCTAATTAGAAAAATAGAGGAAAAACATGACAAGCTAACTAAAGTTAGCCGGTGTGCCAAATGTGCAGAATTGATTTAAACTATGATCTGGGTTTCTGGAGTCTACCTATATAGTACAAAAAAAGAAATAATAATAATAACATACATAGGTGAAAATAAATATGAGTAATATAACTTATTTTTAGCTCTTATACATGTTCTATATTTATAGACATGCTATATAAATTCTATTAAATTTTTGTTTTATCTATTGACTGTATATTCTATTTAAAGAAGATTGGCAGCTATGCCAAAACATAATGCCGTAAGACGACGTTCCTAATTACTTAAAATTCCGCTGATAGAACAAGCACAGATCAAAGAGGCTCTGCCCACCTTTTAGCCCAACTAAAAGCCAATTAATTCATGCTTCAAGTGTTAATTTACTGCGCCTACTCGAGAACTTGTTTACAGCTTTTAAAGCTATCATATCAGCGCAGCTCCAAGCAGCAACAAGAACAAGCGCCATCTAGTCAGCAACAGCAACAACAACAACAACAGCAACGACAACAACGACAACAAATACAGAAGCTATGGAAAAATATGTGCAAAGTAAACAAGAATTTAAGAATCTAGCAGCAGGGGCATAATAATGAGCAAATAAATAAAACTAAACGCATTTGCGCCACTTTGTTGCTGCTGTTGTTGTTGCTGTTGCTGTTGTTGCTGCTGCCCGTGACGTTGCTCAAGTCATTGAACTTAGAGACAAGCGAATAAAAACGCAAAAATAAAAAAAATGAGTAGCAGCAGCAGCAGCAGCAGAGCAGCAGCAGTCGACGCCGCGTTGATAAGTGAAATGCAATGGGCGCACGCCAGCAAATGGGCATGGTCATATTGGCATAGGCAATGGGCACAGCAGCAACAACAACAACAATAACAACAGCAGGCCACGTGGTTGAGGCGAAGAGGGCGACCCGCTTCAAATAACTCTCACTCAATGCACATACACACGCGAGCACGCACACACACTCTCTCGCACGCCGTTTCGCACTCTCTCGCAGCGATTACACAATCTTCGCCTGCAGCCAGCAGCAGCAGCGCCAACAAGCGGCATTTTCATTTTTCTCTTCCTGGTTCGTTGGCGTCGCCGTCGACGTTGACGTCGCGTGTCTTATGGCGTCGTCGTCGGTGTGTGTGTGTGTTTGTTTGCAAAGATCAGGTTTTATCAGGCAAATGCAATCGAACATGTTACGATTGTTGGGGGCGGTCGGCGGTCGGGCAACGCGTCGGGCGTTTGCTTCGGCTCTAGCACGAAGCATTCCCGTTGCGCCCGTCTGCGCGCGTTCTGCGCCTCGTTGACTTTTCGCTTTCGATCCTCGCTGCCTTTGCCGTTTCTTGTTATTTACAGTTTCTGCTGCTTTCGCTGCCGTTGGAAATATAGCAAAACTAGCCGCAGTTGCGGCCGACGCCGTTTTGCCACACGCTGATCATTGACTTTCGTTGCTTCTCTTTTGTGCCAGGCATTCGTCATGGAAAATGTGTGAGGCGGTTGCGCCATGGCGACCGTTGCGAAATGTGGAAAACTCTGCGCGCACAGCACTTGGCTCACTTTTTTTTCCCTATTTATTTATTTTTTTTTTGCTTTGTGCTTCCTTTTGCGTTTTGATGCGTGCGTGAAGGAGGTAAATAATAGAGTTACAGAGACAGCAAGAGTGGCAAATATTAGACTTTGATGGGAATGACTACTGCGCCTTTTCAATTGGAATAATACTTTTAATTATTTAATAAATTAATCTAAATTATTTTAATTGCAATTTTTTAATTACATGTATATACATATGTAGATACATTCATACATATTTATATTCAACATAAACTAGTTTTTGTCTACTTTGAACATGCAGTAATTAGATTCAAATCCCTCCCTCATTTGCAACTGTTTCCTTTGCTCTCTCGCTCTCTATCTCTTTCGTCTAAAAAGTTCTTTCCGCTATGTTGCGGGCGTCCGCGCACTGCTCAAAATCTTTTGGCACCAAAACTTGTTTGCCACTTTCTACTGCATAGCAGCAAAGACAACAACAACAGCAGCAGCAGCAGTAGCAGCAGCATTCAGAACAACAACTACGTCGAGTGCAATATTTTTTCACTTCCGCATTGTAGAACTCCCGCTCGTTCGCTGCGCTCTTGCTCTCCCACTCTGGCACGCTCAAAAGACGCAAAAGGTTCTTTGACTCTGCTGCTCTCTCCTGCCATTTTGCTTACGCTCTCTCTTTGAGTCTATGTCTGTGTGCCTCTCTCTCTCTCTGTCATGCTCTCGCGCGATATTGCAAACTTTGTAACGGTTCTCTTCTCTAGGCCCGTTGCCGTTCGCTGTGTGTGTGAAATTGATCTTGAGAGAAAGAAGTGTGTGCACTTGAAGTGAACGTCAACATCGACGGCGACGCTGACGTCGGCGTTGGCGTTGGCGTTGCTGCTGCTTCTGCTTCTGCTGCCCACGGGCAATAGAAATTGAAAATAGCAACCAGGTACCGAGTGGCCCCAGCAAATGGAAAAGTGCAACAACAACAAACAGCGAGAGTGCCAATGCGTGTTGCTGCTGCTGTTGTTGGTGTTGTTGTTGTTGCAGATTAGAAAGATAGAAGCAACTCCCAGCTCCCACTCCTCCTGCTCCATCTGCCGATGCTCCTCTGCCGCTCCTCTGCTTCTGAGTCAGCCTGGTGCCCAGTACGGCGGTCGCTCAAACGGCGCTAGAAAAGTTTTTCCTACTCCATGCAACCACACCACACCACACTCACACTCACACATACATGCTATTTTCCTACTCTTTTCACACACACACACATACGCACTCGCCTTCTTCTTATTCTTGTTCTTTTCTTGCGCTCCGTCGCTGCCGTCGTCGCCGTCGTCGTCGTCGTTGTTGTCGTTGTCGTAGGTTCTGCAGTTCTGCAGTTTGGTTTGAATTTCTGTTGCGCATTTGGAGCGCTGTGAAGTTGGCGCTTGGATCTCGTCGAGACGAGAGTTTTGTACGCGCGATCGCACATTTTCACAATTTTCATTTGGCATTTTCCTAAACGCTGTTACGTCGTCGTCGCCGTCGCCGTCGTCGCGCTCTCTCCCCCTCACTCATACACACACTCTGTCTCCACCTATCTCTCTCTCTCTTTCTTACTCAGTTTCTCCTTTTCAATTTGTTTAATTAGTGAACGCGTCCTGCTTATCCAACTGTCGAGATCTATGGATACTTATTGAACAGTTCCAACAACGGGCTTAACAAACATGGAAGTGAATCGAAAATTATATTGATGAAAATTGAAAATCAATGTTAAGCTTGTGTGAAAGTGAAGTGTGAAAATTGTTTAGCTCTTAAGCATACGTTTAACAAATAAGTGCAAGATATATGAAGAAATATATTTAAATTTCTAAAGATGTTTGAAATTTAAAAAAAAAACATAGATAAAATGCTAATAATAAATAAAAGATAGCTCAAAATAGAGCTTAGGCTGATTTAATGTTTGGTGACTAATAATATTCTAATATTATTATAAAAAGTATTTTGAGAAGAGTTTATTTACTAAAAATAGAATCAAATTAAAAGTTTTAGGTTTTCACAATTTTCTTTTAGGAATATACAAAGTTTCGGACTAAATGTGTCATATATCTGAATATAATTGAGATCATATCAGAATATTGTTGAACTGTTTAACAAGTGAAAAAAGAAAATGCAAATGTTGCTTGAATCGAATTCAATTTGCGTGATGATGTTGTTGATGATAATGGATGCCAATGCGAATGCAGCGACGCCAGCAACATGGATGTATACCAAATAGAGCTGGAGGCACAGGCACAATTACGCTCCCAACTGCTGATCGATACTGCGGTCAAGAATCTGGGGCAGCCAGTGACACGCCCACACCAGCAGCAGCAGCCACAGCAGCAGCAGCAGCAATTGCAGCAGGACACTAGCAATATTGCTGATTTGGAGGCAGAGCAAGAACTGCAGCAGGCGAACGACGACGAGGACGACGAAGAGGAGGAGGAGGAGGAGCAGGAGGAGGCGGACGGAGAAGACGAAGAGGAGCTGCTGCAACAACAAGAAAACGACGAGGTAGACGACGACGAGCCGGAGGAGGACGAATTGGAGGAAGACAACGAAGCATTGCCAGAAGTCGGCTTCGATGCCAATTCAGATTTCAATTTGCATTTCTTTGACACGCCCGAGGATTCATCGACGCAAGGCGGCTTTAGCGAAGCTGGCAGCCTAGACACCGAGCCAGAGGACGAACAGGAGCAGCAGCTGTTGCAGCAACAGCAGTCACAGCAGCAACAGCTAACATCAGCCGCAGCAACAGCAGCCGTAGCTGGCCCAGCACAGGAGCTACAGCATTGTTTGAGTGCCATCGAAGCAGATCCGCTGCAATTGCTGCAGTGCGACAGCTTCTATAGTGCCACGCCAGCAACAGTTGCTGCCGCAGCACCAGCAACAGCTGTAGCCGGAGCAGCAGCAGCAGCAGCAGCACACCTGAGCTGCACGGCTTTGAGCAATGGTGGAGGTGCTCTGTACGCCATCAGCAGTGTGCATCAGTTCGGTCCCGCCAGCAACAGTTGCAGCTCGGCCGGGGCACATTCCTCGCCAGACAGCGGACGCAGCAGCGGCTGCAGCTCCAGCTCCAGCTCGGCCAACGTCTCATCCTCATCCTCATCCTCATCGTCGGCATCCAATGGTGAGCTCTACAATCGTTCAACCCTACTCAATGCCAGCCATCAGCAACATCAGCATCAGCAACAGCAACAGCAGCAGCAGCACCCACAGCTACAGCAGCAACACAACGGCCATTCAGCAGCAACATCCTCGCCAGCGATCAGCTCCACGTCGGCAACTGTTGCGCATTTGACCAAAGGACACACAGGTATGCCGCAGCCAGACAGCGTGTCACGTCTCTCTTCCTGGTTGCAACCAGCAACAATTGCTGCCTTGGCTCGTGTTTATCTTTTCTTTCCTCTTTCCATCTTTGCGTTGCGGAAACTATTAAAGTGCAGCATGGAAAATGTGAAAATGAATGTAATTCGCTTCTCTTCTGCTTCTTCTTTTTCTGTTTCTTCTGGTTGTTGTTGGTTGTTGTTTTCACAGCCAGGCGAATTGGCTTTCATGTCAATGCTGTTGCTGCAATTGAAAGCCATAGCAAAATGTTTTCCATTTTCATAAATGACTTTCAAATTGCATTTGCCAATTGCTCACTTGCAATTAATTTGATTGCCGCAAACATTTTAATCAAGTTGAATTGGGTCTCGCTTTGCACCAATTGAATTTTAAGGAAGTAAACGAGTTGCAGGTAGTGAAATGATTTAGATTAACATCAATAAAATGCATTAACATTCACGTTAACATTTTTTGGATTAAGTGACTAGTGAATCCCAACATCTAGTAACTAACTATATTCATATTTCATCAGAACTTTATGAACCTCTATTATGTCTCTGTAGTTCTCTTCTTCTTTTTCTTTTCTTTTTCAATGGAATCTCTCAACTCCAAAAGAGTTAGCTCAACTTGCCAAAGGAAACTTGTGCGCGCTTTCTAATTGACCGCAGTTGTTGTTATTGTTGTCGTTGCACTTGCAATTGTTGCTGTTGCTGTTGCACTTGCATTTGAGCAATTGCCAGGATTTGTTAGCCGCATTTAATTGCCGCAATTAGCAAGGCGGCAAAAGAAACTCAATTGCAGTTGATGTGGCGGCTGCGGCCCTGTCAAAACTCGTTGCTCTTGTCGTTTGGCATTATTCAACTGCGTCCGCCCCCCGAAGTGAAGTGAAGTGATTTTCCAAGTATTCAATCAGTTTGCCTGCCACTTTGCGTCTTTTATCGCCGCATGCAAAGCAGACGAGAAATAGGGAAAAGAAATACAAAAATTATGAACTGCTCGCTGTTGTTGCCGCCGCTCGTCTGTCTGTCTATCGCTTGCCACTGTCTGGCAACGCGGAAACGCCAAGCGGCAGCTGCCCCTGGCCCTGCCACGGCCCCTCCTTGTTGCCCCTGCGGCCCGGCCCAGCAACAATGGCATCTAAATTGTCAACTCACAAAGGCGGCCAAGTGATTTGCATTTGAACGCAGCGCGAAAATGAAGCGACAGCAGCAGCAGCAGCAGCAACAACTGAAGCAGCAGCAGCAACAACAACTGAAGCAGCAGCAGCAGCAGCAACAACACAAACAGCAACTGAAGCAGCAGCGGTTGCAATTGCAGCATTTGTGGCAGCAGCAGCAGCAGCAGCAGCAGCAGCAGTTGCAGTTGCAGCATTTGTGGCAGCAACGGCAGCAACAACAATTGCCACTTGAATTTCCTTTGCCGTTGACATTTTCCAGTCAGCCCCCGCCTCGGCCCGCCCCTCTTAGCTGAAAATTCAATTTGCAATTGCACAAGCCCGTAACACTGGGGCATATGCGCCACACAAGCCCCAGCCCAGCCCCTACTCCTGTCCCTGCCCCTGCCCCTGCTCCTGCTCCTGCTCCTGCTCTTGCGTCCAGTTGGCAGTGCGTCGCTCGTTGGCGCGTGCAAGCTGCACATTAATTTCATTTCATTTCGCTTCGCATTTCGAGGTGTGGCAATGCCGATTGCTGCAACAACAACAGCAGCAGCAACAGCAACAGCAGCAGCGGCAACAACTGCAGCAGCAACTGCAATTCGCAGTTCAAACTCCGCGCTTAGTTCATTTGCCTTTTTTTTGCATTAGAAAAAGGCAAATTGAAATGAAATGAAATGCCAAGAAGCAAGCAGAGTTTCTCGAGTTGTTGTTGCCTCTTGTCTGCCTCAATTTTTCCTGTGCAATTTGCATTGCAAATTTTCGGCGCTTGCAGTGGAAATTTGTGTGCGGCTTGTTGAAGAGTTTTCCTCCTGCTGCAGTTGCTGCTGCTGCAGTTGCTGCTGCTGCTTGTGCTCTTGTGTAGGTGGCTCTGTCTGTGGCGTATACGTGATTTTTTGGCATTTTTGCTTATCACACACTCAAGCAGCCATCAGCATTGTTGTTGCCGAAGCTGCTGAAGTTGCTGAAGTTGAAGTTGAATGCACTTTTGTAGCTGCTGCTCGCATTTGAATTTGAATTTGAATTTGAATTGTGAGTTTTTAGTTTGATTGCTGTCATGTCTGTTTGCTGTAATTGCGTTCACTAAATGCATGTCGGAGGCTGTTGTTGCAGCGCGCAGAACTAACAAGAATTCGGCCGAAAGGCGCCTGAAGAGAACTTGAGAAGTTTTAAGTTTAACAAACAAGAGAGGCATACCAGACTAGCGAATACCCTGTACTCAGCGCAGAGCGGCTGTTGGTTTTATTCTCAGCTTCTTTTCTCAGACACATATGTGATATAACTCTGAGTAACATCTGTCGAAGTCTGTTGAAGTCTCCTCAAATTTGGAATTGCGAACAAAGGTTCGAAGATACCGAAATATATATGTGAAATTAATTTACTCATTATTGATTAACACCAAGAAATATATATAAATATATGAACCTTTAATATTAAATTAAATAAATAAAAGAATATATATTAAATAAATAATAAATATATTAAATAATTAAATTTATTAAAAATTAATAAAAATTTATATGGTGTATTTTTTTTAATTTATAAAAATAAATATACATATATAAAATTATTATATTAATAAAATTATTTAAAAAATAATAATTTACTCATATATTCATACAATAAGTTTATTAAAAATAAATACAAATATATATGAAATAATTTCACTAAAAATAAATAAATATAAAATGAAAAAAAAAAACAAATACATAAAAAAGAAATATGTAAAATGTATATATGAAATTATTTTGCTAAAAGTGATTGCATATATATAAAACGACTTTATTAAAACATCCTAAAGTATTTAAATAAAATATTCAAAACTAATGATAAACTGATTAAACATTACTCAAATTCAAAAATAGATATATACATATATGTATATTTACTTACTTGACTCATATGTGGCACATTCAATTTTGCAAGTCCTTCACTCTGTGCAGCGAATGCCAACCCGATATTGGCCCAATCGCGCTGTCCATTAATGTAATTTGTTTGCACCTGAATTCGAATGCCGTTAGAGCAGATAGCCACCCACAGGCAGCACTGGAGCCGGGCCACTCGATTGACAGCAGCAGCGCGCAGGCTGTCAGCGTTTGTCACTGACAAATGGGGCGAGAGTGGGGGAGCGAGAGATATGGAGCAGGCGATAGTCGATTGACGCCAGCTCATTTGGCCAAGTGGCGTATGAGTAATGTGGCAAGGAGCTAACAGCAAATGCACTTTGTCATTGCAGAGCAACACTCACAGCAACAGCAGCAGCAACAGCAACAGCAGCAACAGCAACAGCAACAGCAGCACCCACAGCAACACTCGCAACAACAACAACAGTTGCAACAGCAGCACGCGCAGCAGCAGCAACAGCAATTTGGCATTGTTGACTCTAGCAACAGCAGCAGCAACAGCAATCACAACAACAACAACAACAACAGCAACAACAACGGCAACGGCAACGGCGTCTCCTCAAAGTCGTTTGTGCCGTGCAAAGTCTGTGGCGACAAGGCTTCGGGCTATCATTATGGTGTAACCTCCTGCGAGGGTTGCAAGGTAAGTTGCGCATTTCACAGACCAGAGTCCTCATTGAAACTCTCTCATATTGCAGGGCTTCTTTCGTCGCAGCATACAGAAACAGATCGAGTATCGCTGCCTGCGGGACGGCAAGTGCCTCGTGATCCGGCTCAATCGCAATCGCTGTCAGTACTGCCGCTTCAAGAAATGCCTCTCGGCTGGCATGAGCCGCGACTGTAAGTACCCCAGCAACTAACTATAGCCGTAGATTAGCCGAAAGTGAATGTCAACGTGAACAGCTTTATTAGCCAACTGTGCGGCGATCATTGATAATGTCTGCCCCAAGAGATCTGCTGGCTTAGATAAGACTTTGAGTGGGGGCTTTGGCTAGATTGTCGCGTTAAATGTCGTGGGACTAAACTGGATTATGTTTACGATGCATATAATCGTAATATATTCTGATTTAATTGAGCTGTAAATTGGGTGAGAAACTGATATAGAGATGGAGATATAGCGATTACACAGACATTATGTCTATTTCAATTTTTAGATCTATAAAATTCATGCTGAGATTTTATAATTTGACTCCATTTGCGCTCAGCTTTAGTCAAGTCTCTCTCTTTATCTCTCTCGTTCTTCCTTCTCTGCCTCTACCTCTTTGAATCTCTTCCTTTTCCCTCTCTCTCTCTCTCTCTCTCTCTCTCTCTCTCTCTCTCTCTCTCTT